ACCGAACCCGGGTCTCTCTGTACCGCAGGCCGACGCTCCAACCGCTGAGCCAAACCGGCCAGGGCATCACAAGTCTCTTTATAAAGGAAAGAAGGCAGGAAAGTCAGAGAGAAGATGTGATGACCAAAGCAGAGGTTGAAGTAATGCCATTGTTGGCTGTTTTTTTTTTTTTTTAATCCTCACCCACCTGAGGATATTTTTCCATTTATCATCAGATAAAGTGTGAGGGAGGGAGAGAAAGAAAGAGGGAGGGAGAGAGACACACATCGAATGGTTGCCTCCTGCAGGACCCAGGGCCGGGGACGAACCGCAACCGAGGTATGTGCCCTTGATCAGAATCGAAACCACAACTCATTGGTCCGCGGGCTGATGCTCTAACCGCTGAACCAAACTGGCCAAGGCTCATTGTTGGCTTTGAAGAGAGGAGATGTGGCCACAAACCATGGAATGTTGGCGCCTCTAGAAGCTCGAAAAGGCAAGAAAACAGATTCTTCCCTAGAGCTTCCAGGAGGAACACAAGCAGCCCTACAGACACCTTGCTTTTAACTCCATGACACTTCTAACCTATACAACTGTAAGATAAAAATCCGCATGGTTTTAGGCCAGTTCTTTGTAATTAATCTCTTAATATATTTCTCCTCCTGGTTCTGCTTCTCTGATGGAAACCTGACTGGTACACATTTGGTAACTGCTTTGATTTCCTTTAAAAACATATTTGAAACAGCAAATGCATTAAGTTTTTGTTGGTGCCCCTGTTCTGCTGACAGCTTCGAGCATTTTCTAAGCTCTCTGGGGGAAAGAGTAATGAACAAGACATCGAGTTTCCATAGCTGTAAAATTAGGCTAATCAGAGTATCTCATAGGGTTTTTTATAAAAGGTAAATAAATTACTGAACATAATGTGCTTGGAATAATATCTGGTACAGAGTAAGTGTTCAATAAATGTTAAAAGAGAGAAAGAACAGCCTGGCTGGTGTGGCTCAGTGGTTGAGCATCAATCCATGCATTAAGAGGTCACTGGTTCGATTCCCGGTCAGGGCACATGCCCAGGTTGTGGGCCTGATCCCCAGTGGGGGGCATGCAGGAGGGGGCCAATCAATGTTCTCTCTCATTGGTGTTTCTACTTTCTCTTCCTCTCCCTCTAAGATCAATAAAGAAAAAAAACTTTTTTTAAAAAGATAAAGAACAGGATATAGACAGGAGTGTGATAAGCTCTGCTTTCAGGGACTTATATACTAGAGGGGAAAAAGGATGATAAACTTAGGAAAGAAGGAAAAGAGGGAGGGATGGAAAGAAGAAGGGTAAAAAAAGTCTGATACTGGTAAGTAGCTCAGAAACACTTATTTTAAGACTAGACTAGGCTCAGCTGTCCATGGTAGGCCAAATCCAGCCTGCCACCTGCTTTCATATGGCCCCTAGCTACAAATGGTTTCCACATTTTTAAACAGTTGAAAAAAAAAAATCAAAAGAATATTTTGTGACATGTGAAAATGGTAAGAAATCCGAATTTCAATATCCATAAAGTTTTATTGGAACATAGCCATGCCCATTGAAATAATCTATGGCGACTTTCCCACTGTAAAAGCACGGTGGAGTTGTTGTGACAGAGATCAGACTGAAATATTTACTGTCTAGCTTTTTACAGAAAAAGTTTGCCAACCTCTGCTTTAGGCTGAGTGGTCATGGAGGGCCTCCCTGAGGAGGTGACATTTAAGTTGAAATCTGAATGGCAAAGTTAGACATAAGAGGGCAGAGAGAACAGAGAACAAAGGTACAGCTTTCTCTCTAATCCTATAAAAACCTCCCAAAGGCTTCTGTCACAACCATGATGGGGCCTTGAGTTTCTGCAGGATCTGTGGGGTCCCAGGGTCACAGAGCCCACAGAGATCACGTTGGGGTAGGGAGCCGGGACTGCCTTGCACCAGAGCCTGCCATGCCCTGCGCCAGCTCCTTTGTAGCCTGGCAGGGCACAGGAGCCCAGGAACTGCATGTCAAATGGCTTTATTTGCCTTCCAGGGGGCAATGACCGGGGATTTTAGATTCGTTCCCAGGAATAGGTGAGAAGGGCCTGTAATGTACTCATAGGCCTGAGAGCAGGTGTTCTTTTACTTCCTGGCAGCAGGTCTGTGATTGCCACAAAGCCTGGACCTGATGACAGGATGTGTGGCTAGGGCAGTGGGTGGGACGGCAGATAAAATGGGGCATCCATTGCTCAATTCTGGGCCGTGCTTTCATCCTGGCTGACCTGCAGTCCAATGCAAGGGTCCTACCCCTGCCCATGGGGGCTCGACTCCAGCTAGTTGGGGTTTTCTGGGGCTGGAAGGAAAGTGACAACCTCAAGCCCTGTCCATAAGTGTGGCTCAGAGAGAACCTAGCTCTCAATCCCAATCATTTTTGCCAGGCTTCATCTGTGACAAGGGGAAAAAAGAGGCTGTTCACCCCATTTAGAGCACAGCCTTTGCCAGAATCACAGCCTCGGCACTTGCCAGCTGTGTGACCTCAGGCAAGTGATTGACTTCTCTGGGCTTTAGTTTACAGATTGTGGTAGTATCTGTCTCAAAAGAAATGTAAGGAATTGAGGAAACAATACTGTAGCCCAGCACCACACCCACAGGAAGGACTCAGTAAAACCTTGGCTGATTCTAAACACATTCTCTCAGTTAGCTTTGATAGCAGTTGAAAAAGGTATGGGTTTGAGCCAGTCAGATCTCTTCTCTGCCCAGCCAAAAGCTGGAAGTCATCCTTGACTTCTCTCTTTCTTTTACATGCCACAGTCCATCAGCAAATCTTACCTTCAGTATGCACCCAGAGTCCAAGCATTCCTGCCATCTCCATAGTATCACCTTAATCCAAATTGCGATCAGCTCTCACCCAGATTATTGCAAAGGCCTCGCGGCACATCTGAGGGCTTCCATCCTTGCCCCCAAGCACCCCCCCCCCCGCCCCACCCAACTTATGGTCAAAGAGGTCCTAATAAAAGTCAGGTCACGCCCCATCCGGTGTGGCTCAGTGGTTAGAGCCTCAGCCAGCACACCAAAGGGTCATGGGTTAGACTCCTGGTCAAGGGCACGTATCTGGATTGCAGGTTTGTTCCCTGGTCTCGACTGGTCAGGGCATGTGTAGCGGGCAACCGATAGATGTGTCTCTCTCACATCGATGTTTCTCTCTCTCCGTTCCAGTCTCTCTAAAATAATCAATGGAAAAAATATCCTCGGGTGAGGGTTAACAACAACAAAAAGTCAGGTCATATCACTCCTCTTTTCAAAACCCTATTGTTTCCTAACACATCTAGAGTTAACTAATGTCTTTATTTATTCAGTGATCATTTATTATTGAGTACCTACTATGTGCCAGCTACTGTTCTAGGCATTGGAGATAAAACAGAACAAAAACCTCTTCATTCTGGAAATTTACATGCTCATGGAGGGAGAAGAACAATAAACAAATATATATGTAAAACATAATAAGTTTGGTGTTCTGGTGAAAAATAACTCAGGGAAGGGGATGGGTCTTGGATTTTAAACAGGATGGTCAGGGAAGGTAGAACGGACAAGATAAGGATTAAACAAAAAGCCCTAAAGTGGGAAAAGTGGGAGCTAAGGGCCAACGGAGTACAGCCATGTGCCACTTGACAATGGGGATACATTTTGAGAAATGCATCGTTAGGTGATGTCATTCATCATTGTACAAACATCACAGTGCACACTTACACAAACCTAGACGGTATAGCCTACTGCACACCTAGCCTACCACTGTGTATGTGAGGTCGGTTGTTGACAGAAAGTCATTATGGTGATTATGCAGCACATGACTGTATTCTAGGTGAAAGGATCAGCCAGCGCAGAGGTGGCAGTGTTCCTGGTGTATTTCAGCACAGGAGAAAGCCACTGTGACCAGAGTAGAAAGAGTGCAGAGTGGAAGAGGGGATCCTCCTCAGAAGGGGAAAGAGAGTAGGGTTGAGTCCTGTAAATATTCCAAGTTGTCTTTTTTTTTTTTTCTCTGATAAAGATTGGAAGCCAGTGGAGGTTTTGAGCAGTTTTACTTTTTTTTTTTGTACGTGCCCCTAGCGGGAACCGAACCTGGGACTCTGGTCTGCAGGCCAATGCTCCAACCACTGAGCCAAACCGGCCAGGGCTGGGGCAGAGTTTTAAAAGATCACTGGGGCCCGCTGTGTGGAAGACCGTGGGAACAATGGCAGGGTCAGAGAGACCATTTAGGCAGCTTTGCAGATGTTATAAGATGGCTTGGACCAGGACAGAGGTAGCAGCAGAGGTGGTGTCAAATCCAAAAGCCTTATTATATTAGTCCAGCTCTCCTGATGGGATCCCTCTTACTCCTCTAACCTCACCTTGTTCCTTCCTGTATCACCAACCCACAGACCACTGCTGGGCACATATAGGCATCAATGATCAAATTAATCAATGATCCATCCCCTAGATCATTATCACCTATTTTAATAATAGCCATATAATCAGAACTCAATAAATGTTTACAGATAGAATACTGCACAATTCTGCAAAGGCCAGGGGGCTAGTCGTCTTTACAGCTGAGAGAAACTAAGGCTTAGACCGGAGAAAGGTACCCCGCACCCGCACCCGCACCCGCACCCGCACCCGCACCCGCACCCGCACCCGCACCCGCACCCGCACCCGCACCCGCACCCGCACCCGCACCCGCACCCGCACCCGCACCCGCACCCGCACCCCGTGGAGTCCCTCTGCCCAACCTAGGGTAGAAGCTTCCTTCCCCACATTCAATAAGGGTGAATCACAGGGACCGCTCAAGAGTTTCCCTCAAAACGTCCCCGCCCTGAGGTGGGGAAAAGCCGAAAAAAACCCCGTGGAGTCAAAAAGTCAAGAAGTCCTGGAAAAGCCCAGGAATGACCTCCCAGAGGCCTCCTCCCACCCCGGGCTATCGAGACAAAGGGACGGAAGGGCCGCCCCGGCGCGGCCGAGGCCCCGCCCACGGCCGTCGGCCCGCCCTCGCCTTCAGCGGAAGCCGGAAGCAAAAGCGGGCCCTGCTAGCCCCGCGGCGCCGAACTCTGTGGTCAGGAGGCTCCGCAGGATTGGGGAGAAGATGGCGGAAGAGGAGTGAGTGGGCTTTTCCGGGGCGGCGGAGGCGACAGGGCTGGGCCCCAGTGGGTGACAGCTAGAGCCTCAGGCCGCCCCCGTTCCCAGAAGGCGGAGCTCCTTGCGCTGGTTGGCCAGGACTGACCTTGCTGGCCCCTGCGAGGAGGGCGGGAGGGACGGGCCTGGGCCCAGCCCAGCCTTGCATTCTACTTGAGGTCGGAACCTCGGCCTGGGGATCGGTCGCCCAGCGCAGGCCTCGAAAGCCTTCTTGCGGCAACCGCAACCCCGTTTCCCTTTCCCAGTTTTCGGTCATCGGATGATTACGGAGTGTTCCGCCTCCTCCTCCGGGAAGTCCTCCTCCCGCATCCCTTAATTAGCCATTCTCCTCCACTGTAACGATCATTTTTCGCATCTGACTTCACTGAGTTTCATTCATTCCTTAACTGTTGGCCATCTACTATATTTCAGGCCCTGGGCACATAGTAGTGAGGGAGGTAGACCAGGAGCCGCCCTCTGGAGATTTACTTTGTAGTAGGAAAAGACCATAAATAGACAGGATGATTTCAGTGCTCTAAGGAAGTGAAATAGTGGTAGGGTGGGGGAGTCTACTCAGGAAGGAGTGCTAGTGCCGAGGGTACAGCGAATACAAGAGACCAGAGACAAGAAGGGCTTCAGTGCCTTTGAGGGACAGAAGGGCAGGCAAGGTGGTTGGAATGTAGAGAGCAAGGGGGCTAGCCATACAAGATGAGATGGGGGTGGGCTGGGTCCAGTCCTCCAGGTACTTCTGGGGAAGGACCACCTTCAGTCCATCTCCATGCCTGTTGGGCACAGTGTATTGCATGTTACAGATGCCTTATCTGTGTTTGTGGAATGAATATGTGAAAACTCACAGGGAATCCCATGGTTGAAATGTGGCTCCCTCAGCTGACAACTTTTCAGATATGTCTCTTGGCTGGGTGGTCATTTCTTTTAGTCACCTTATTTATTAAGCATCCACTTTGTCCCAGACACTAAACTGTACCTCAGCAGCACAAAGCAGAAGGCAAAAGAAGTGGTATGAACCAGTGATTTCAAGTTTGGTCTCAGTTCTGCCACTGACTGAGACATTGGCCAAGTTATGCAACCTCTCTGAATCTCTGTTGTTCATCGGTATAAAAGGGAAAGTAAGAGTATCCACCTCGGGCATGTTCTGCTTATTAAATGAGAAGTTGTATGTTACTTAGCCCCTGAATGAAGCAAGCCTCAATAAACATTAACTGTTATAATCACAGTTACAATGACTATTACATCAATATTGCACTAGTGTACAATCCCAACACATGTGAGAGAGCCATAGGGAACGTAAGCAGTGGAGTGGAGTGGGGTATTAGACAGGGAGGTTACACTGAGCCTTTTGAAATCTGAGAAGGATTTTGTCAACTAGGATAGGGCATTCCAACCAGATCACCAATTGCGCAAATTCAGGTGGCTTCTTCAACTTGTGGATATAATCCAAGGCAAAGAATGTAAACTGGAGAAATAAAGGCGCCAAGTAAATAATGTTGGACCTTGTAATTGATGAGACTCCAGTTTGCCTCTGTTTAAATCCCCGATTAAGGCCCCAAAGCAGGCGGCATGTGGTTTCTACACAGGCCCGGATTCCCTCTTGTTCCTGTCCTCTAAGTGGCTGCGTTCAGTGAGGACACTGGTACCATTCTGTGGCAGCAGGCAGGAATTTTCTTAATCAGTTTCTCGCCAAGGCCTGGTTGTTGGTTATAAGACTTATGATTCCTATGAAGCTCTGTGCCAAGTTCTCTCTGTCTTTGTATGTTGATACTTTGGGGCCCTTTTTCCTTTATCTAATTTTGTTTTTTTGTGTCCTCCAACAGGTTCCCCAACACAACTCATGAAGGTTTCAATGTCACCCTGCACACTACCCTGGTTGTCACTACGAAACTGGTGCTCCCGACCCCTGCCAAGCCCATCCTCCCTGTGCAGACAGGGGAGCAGGCTCAGCAGGAGGAGCAGTCAAGTGGAATGACTATTTTCTTCAGCCTCCTCGTCCTAGGTGAATGCTGAGTCACCATCGTCTGCCATCTTGAGTGCCTGTGTATGCTGTCTGTGTGGTTAACTCGGTTTAAATCACTGTTTAATTTGTCAAGTCCTCCATTTGGTTTTCACTGCAGACACTGAGGGACAGTGATCAGTGCATAATATTATAGCAGAGTACTTTTTTTCATAAAATCATAGAGCTTAGCAATTCTGAAGAGCCCATTATGAAATATCTTAGATGTCCTTTGGAAGAGAGAATTAAAGAGTTTTTTTACCTAGAAAGGACCTTGAACATCTTATCGTTTAGTGGATTTCAAACTCTGCTCATGAGAGTCTATGTGTGAGTGTGTGTGTGAGAGTGTATGTGTGTGGTGGTGGTGGTGGTGGTGGTGGCAGGAGGTAGGGGGAGTCAGATGGGAAGGCATCTGACTTTGATCAGAGCATTTGTCTCATATCTATTAAGCTTCTGTGTAAAATTTTATCTAAAGGTTTTGCTGCTGAGGAAAAGACCAGGTGCCCTTGCCCTAACACACTGCTGTCCTTAACCTCTCATTCCACTAACCGTGGTCATGACTTCCGTCGTATCTGTTATTTACTTATGTAATGTTTTTCTTTAAGTGGATTCACTCTCTCAAACTTAAAGTCTCATTTTGTTCAACCTCCTACTTTAACCGGTGAGGAAATTTAGGTCCAGAGAGGTTGTTAAGCGATTGCCTGGCGTTTGGGAGACTAGTGACTGATACCCAGGTTACCAGACATCGGTTAAGAAGTTTAGATAAAAGGCATCAACTTCAGTGCCTCCCAGAGTCTATAGACAGTAGACAGCTGTGTTAAACACAAAAAATCCAGTTGAAACTGTACAACTACTTTGGGTTAACTGACTATAGAACAAATAGCTTAGAATTTGACCCAAGTTCAAACTCTTGTTTGAAAAGCAAAGTTGGCATGTTTACATTTCCCAATCTTCTTTAATGATAGTTAGTCACATTACCAATTAGATCTTTTCATAAAAGTGAGAGTTGTAACTGGATTTAAAGGTGCAGAGTATTTCTCTGATGTCTATTAAGAGTGTTTTTTAAAAAAATATGTTTGTATTTATTTATTTTTTATCCTCACTTGAGGACATTTTTCCATTTTTTGTTCAGATAGAGTGGGAGAGAGAGAGAGAAACATCGACGTGAAAGGGACGCATCAGGTGGCTGCCACCCACACGACCAACCAGGGCTGGGGACAAACTGCAACTGAGGTATGCGCTCTTAGCGGGAACCGAACCCAGGTCTCTCTCTGGACCGCAGGCCAATGCTCTAACCACTGAGCCAAACTGACCAGGGCTATTTTTATTTTTTAGAGAGAGAGGAAGGGAGAGAGAGATAGAAATATTGATGTGAGAGAGAAACATCGACTGATTGCCTCCTGCACACCCCTCTACTGGGCATCAACCCTACAACCCAGGCATGTGCCCTGGCTGGGAATCTAACTGGGACCTCCCAGTCCATGAGAGGATGCTCAGTTCATTGAGCCACACTGGCTGGGCTTAAGAGTGTTTTTTGAGGGATAAGGTCATTTGTTTCACCCTTGCATTCAGACTATTTTAGAGTCGATTTTAATAATACAGTGATTTAATTTAAAGTCCTACGACTCATCCTTGTCTCTTCATAGATTAAAAAAACAAAACAAAACAAAACTGTTACATCAGGCTTCTTTCACTTAGCATCATGTCTTCAAGGTTCACCTGTGTTGTAGCATGTGTTAGAATTACTTCTTTGTATGGCTGAATAATATTCCATTGTAAGGATATACCACATTATGTTTATTCATTCACCAGTTGATAGGCATTTGTGTTTTCCACCTATTGACTATTGCAAATAGTGCTGCTATGAACATTTGTATACATGTTTCTATTTCTTTTGGATAAACAGTATATACATAGGAGTGGAATTGCTGGGTTAAATGGTTACCCTCTGTGTAACTTTCTCAGGAACTGCCAGACTTTTCCAGAGGCTGGCTGCACCATTTTACATTTCCTCCAGCAATGCCCAAGTGTACAGTGTCCCATACAGATTTATAATATGCCCAGGTAATTTTTTACCCTGTAAATGTAGTTAAAGTCTATTTCTAGGGAATTACTTCAACAATCAAGGACTCCTATTTTGTTAATTTTTGTTGTTATAGTAGCTGAATACAAAGAAGAAAAGCTGTTCTTTTCTTGATCAAGAAATCTTTAGTTCCTTAAGTCCTGGAGTATTTTTAATTTATTTACATTGTTGTCAGCTTGATATATTAGGGAATATAAAAGACTGGCCTGGAAAAAAACTTTTGTTTTGTGATCTTTTTTTTTCACAGGAGGATGAAAAGCATAAGTAAGACTCAAAGTAATTTTCAGGGTGTGTAGCATTTAAGATTATTTTGTGCCAAAGACCACAAAACTGGTTTTTATAATGTGCTTTTTCATCCAGGCAAGATTCTGCCCAGTGTTAATACATGTTTGGGGCCAGAAAGGTCTGAACTGTATTTAATAGTGCTGTATATTTCTCTTGGATTGTCTTCTCTTCATACAAATCATAAACCTAGGTTCTAGCGTCCCTCTAATGTCATGTGGGTCCCATTTTCACCTAATCAGATTCTTGGCAGTTTATGAGTTGGTATCTCCACTTTTTATGTGTAGGTCAACATGCTTTAGCAGAATGGAATGCTTCTTTTTAAGTAGATTTGAAGGTATTTCCTTTGTTCTTGTATATTCCTGATTAGATGTTAAGTCTGATAAAGTAAAAAAAAAATACTGTGAATAGGTAACTTGCTAACTCATTTAATGCATGAACTTTGTTGAACTGAGGGAAAACATTATTAGTCCATAGTTCATTCTAGATTTCAGGAACTACTAACCTGTAACATACTTGCCACTTTTGTTTACTATGTTAGTCAAATCAAATGAGATTGTAACATTTGGTCCCATAAAGATGGGAAAGGATTACAGTGTGTTCCTCTTTGTTGAGAAGGGATGCCAAAACTTTTGACTTTTAGAAACTTGTCATCAGTTGACTTATGTGTACTTAACCTTTGCTGATCTTTGACTCTGCAGAAACATTGCGGAGTCACTGTTATTGATTTGCACTAGAGTTAGCAATTAGCATCATTTGACACGTATTTTATGGGCCATTAAATTTATTGAGTTATTAAAATGGACATGTCTGTTTTAATATAATTTACATAATTATTGCTTCAGGCATGAAAAATTGGATGCATTTTAACTTTTGGTATGCATATCTTCCATGCCACATAGAAGTTTTTGTCTCTTCTTGCTTTCTCTTACCCCAAGTGTACTTGGAAACATGTATTTGTATTTGTGTATTTAGTTTTGTACATTCATGAGCACATACACACGTACAGGCATATATAGCTTGGAGTTTGTTTATTTTAATATAAACGGGGTCCTGTAGCTTGCTTTTTCTTCTCACAGAATGTCTTGGAGATCTTTTCATGTTAGTGGGGTTTTTTAAAATTATTTCATTTTATTTTTTGGTAGGTGCCCCTAGCGGGAACCAAACCCAGGACTCTGGTCCACAGGCCAATGCTCCAACCGCTGAGCCAACTGGCCAGGGCTCTATGTTAGTGTTTTTTATATATATCATCTTTTTTATTTATCATCTTTTTAAAGGATGTGTATGTGGTAAAAATAAACAACAAAATTTACCACTTTATTTTTTTAAAACACACAGGACAGCTTATTTATTTATTTTTAATCCTCATCCAAGAATATTTTTCCATTTATCTTTAGATAGAGCGGGAGAGCGAGACAGAGAGAGAGAGAGAGAGAGAAACATTGATGTGAGAGAGAAACATTGATGTGAGAGAGACACATCGACCAGCTGCCCCCCATACAACCCTGATCATGGCTGGGGACGAACTGCAACCAAGGCACATGCCCTTGATGGGACTCTAACCTGCAGCTCTTTGGTCTGAGGGCCCACGCTCTTAACCACTGAACCAAACCAGCCAGTGCCAAAATTTACCACTTTAAAGTGTACAATTCAGTGGCATTTACCACATTCACAATGTTGTGCAACCATCACTATTTAGTTCCAGAACGTTTTTATCACCTCAAAAGGAAACTCAATACCCAGTAAAAAGCATTCACTCCCCATTTGCCCCTGCCCCCAGTCTCTGGTAAATATAATTCTGCTTTTAGTCTAAGAATTTGCCTACTCAAAATATTTTCTACAAATGGAATCATAATATATGATATTTTATGTCTGGCTTCTTAGTGTCATGTCTTCAAGGTTCACCCATGTTGTAGCGTGTATTAGAATTACTCCTTTGTATGGCTGAATTGTATTCCATTGTAAGGATATACCACATTATGTTTATCCATTCACCAGTTGATGGGCATTTGTGTTGTTTCCACCTGTTAACTATTGTAAATAGTGCTATGAACATTTGTGTACATGTTTTTATATGGACATAAGTTTTTATTTCTCTTGGATATATACTTAGGAGTGGACTTGCTGGGTTAAATGGTTATTCTCTGTGTAACTTTCTTAGGAACTGCCAGACTTTTCCATAGAGGTTGGCTGCACCATTTTACATTCCCTCCAACAAGGCCCAAGGGTTCCCATTTCTTTACTTCCTTACCAACATTTGTTATTTTCCACTTTGTTGTGTTTTGTTTTTTAATTATAGCCATCCTAGTGTGTGTGAAGTTTTATTTCACTGTGGCTTTGATTTGCATTTTTATAATGACTAATGATGTTAAGCATCTTTTCATGTGCTTATTGGTCATTTATATATCTTGGAGAAGTGTCTGTTCAGGTCCTTTGTTCATATTTAAATTGTGTCGTTCTTTTTGTTGTTGAATTGTAAGAGTTCTTTATGTATTTTGGATACTAGATCCTTATCAGATATCTGATTTACAAATATTTTCTCCTATTCTGTAGGTTGTTTCTTTCAGACCTTATTCTTTTTAATGGCTGAAGACCTTCCTTGAGCCCTATATTTTGCTCCCTCTGTTGATAGTTTCCCCCTTTGCTCTGAAAGATGCAAATCATTCTTTGATTTATGAGAATAAATGTGTTAAATACTTTTTTTTCCATCCAGCTTGGTGCAAAGAAAGAGCAGAAACTGATTCAGCTCCCTAATTTATTATCAATCTACTTTTCAACCTGCCCTTTTAGACCGTAGGCATGCTTTGGTCACATGTTACAATTATGCATTGGAACTTTTTTCTTGCTCTTAGTATTTAATGTAGGATTTTTCTGACTAGGTTAAATATTTATAATAACACCACAGATTGACAGTTTAGAGCACAGAATGAAAGGAGGACAAAATTTCTATATTTACAACTGTTTCCTTTCTCTGGCCACCTGGTGCTTTTTGGTGGAACTAAAGATATCTAATTTGTCAATGCAGACTCTGAGGATGGCCATTTCACAGCCATGCAGATTGTTGAAACATCTCTTTTTACAAAAAACCCCAACAAAATTATTTTTAGTATTACTGAGATGATACTGTGATTGATGAGATGGCACACCACCTACATGCCTAGCAGAAAGAGACGTGCACGTTAACATTTGGACCAGGAAATTACATTTAGGAATATTTATGAGAAAGTATGCTTTTGGGGAGGGGGTCCAGAAATAATTTATTCCTCTCAAATAGTTTGATATTCTATTGTTCTCTTTTCTTTCATGATAACACCTCTGTGAGGAAAGTCAGACATTATTCGAATTTTGGTGACTGGGGAATGAAAACAGCCAGGAGAGAGGTGGTGGGTGCCCGAGGTTAAGGGCACAGGGTTGAAATCTGGTTCCACCCTGCAGTACCTACCAGTGAACTGATCTCTGATCCTCAGTTTTCTCATCTAGAATCAAAGGAGATGATGGTAATAATAGCTAATTAAGAGGGGTGTTGGGGGTCAGGTGAGACAGTGTTTGGAAGTGCTCACTGCAGTGCCTGGCTCATGGGGAGCCCTCAACCAGTGGGAGGCCCAGTATCCAGCTGGAGAGCAGGTACCCCATCTTGAGGTCTCTGGCGTTCTTAACAGCAAACCAGAATATTTACTTTGTTCTGTTTATAAAACACCCTCATTTTCTGTGTTAAGAAAATCAATGACCAGGTGGCGAAATACTTTGTGTCAGCATATTCTGTTGTAATTACATAAAAGTGATTGATTTTATTGACTTGCGCCTCACTATTTAGAGTTTTCCAGTGGATGACTACTTCAAAAAAGTTGAGGACCATTTCTTAGAATCAGGGAAGTTTGCCCTGGCCAGTCTGGCTCAGCGGTCAGAGCGTCGGCCTGCAGACCAGAGAATTAGGGAAGTTTGAATAATTTTAAATGGTTGTATAATGTTTAGAACAAAATTAGATGTCTGATGCTCTTAGATGTAAGGAAGCATGAAGAAAATGTTATAGACACTGTGAGTCTACATCCAGTTTAAGAAATAAGAAATTGAGCCCTAGCCAGTTTGGCTCAGCGGTTAGAGTGTCGGCCTGTGGTCCAGAGAGACCCGGGTTTGGTTCCCCCTAAGGGCACGTACCTCGGTTGTAGTTTGTCCCCAGCCCTGGCCCTGGTTGGGTCATGCGGGTGGCAACCACTTGATTTGTCCCTTTCACGTCGATGTTTCTCTCTCTTTCCCCCTCCCACTCTACCTGAACAAAATATCGAAAAATGTCCTCAGGTGAGGATAAAAAAAAAAAAAGAATAAGATATTGAGCCCAGCTGGTGTGGCTCAGTGGTTGAGTGTCAACCCATGCACCAAGAGGTCGCCGGTTCAATTTCTGGTCAGGGCACATGCCCAGGTTGTGGGCCTGATCCCCAGTAGGGGCATGCAGGAGGCGGCCAATAAATGTCCTCTCTCATCGATGTGTCTGTCTCTCTCCCCCTCTCCCTTCCTCTCTCTCAAATCAATAAAGAAAAAAATTTTTTAAAAAAAAGAAGAGATTGAAAATTCCACCGAAGTTTACAGTATCACTGACAGTTATCCATTTCCCTGGCAGCCCTACAGAAGTAACTGTTGCTTTGAACTTGGTGTTTATTGTTTAAAAATGTGCTGTTTTAACAATGTCTTGTTTTCCCCACAGCTATCTGCATCATATTGGTGCATTTACTGATTCGATACAGATTACATTTCTTGCCAGAGAGCGTTGCCGTTGTTTCTTTAGGTAAGTGCTTATTGGTGAGTCTATAATAAAAGCAGTAGCAAAAACTATCATTTTTTTAGTGCCTCCTACTGCCAGGAACCACAAGAGATGTGGCACATACCTGATCTCATTTAATCCTCACTGCAACCTGCCATGAGGGTGTTATGATCCCATTTTACAGGTGAGGACACTGTGCCACAGAGAGGGGTGATGACCTTATGAAGGTCACATAGAAGCCCCTTTGTACAGCTCGAAGGTCTTTTCTACTTCTAGAACAAACACATTGGGGCACATTGAGCTCTGCTACTAGGCTATGCTGGCATCCAGCTGAACTAAGGCATGTCACTGACACTTTAATTCATAGTGTCACTGAATTGTACAGCCAAGAGAGGCTCTCACTTTGCAGTTTAGTGAGAAATGACACACTTTAACCAGAGTCAGATCTAACAGTCTTCAGAGAGCATTCCATTCTACCCCGAATTTCTCTCGTTTCCTGTGGCAGTGAACTCTTAAGATAATTAGCCTCTATTTAGAGTGAATGAATTGGCATAATAACAGGTGTGAGCTCACATGCACACACGTTCATTGAAGTGGTTAGTGGAGGAAGAAGCAGAGACCTTATTTTCAGTATGTATTAAGATCAAGTGGAAAATGTGGGTGGATGCTTAAGGCATAGTAAGTAAGGTTTTACTAAGTTCAGCTAAAGCTCTCATCAGATTCTATTGTAGTTACTTACGGGCCTACTGATGATATTTAATTTTTTCTTATCGCTGATGCTTTAAGTTAATTTTCTTTGCCTTGTAGATCTTGTTTAGTATATTTAGTAATTCTTTCACAGTATAGCTGTGTTTTAGGTTAGCTTTGGAAATGAACTCTCAGAGTTTGTTCTTTCTCCTCCCCTCTGTCACCATCTGCATTCCTACTGCAGTGGTTCAGCCCCTACTATATTGTCCCCGCCCTTCACAGTACAAGTTCTGGCCTATGAGCTTTCACGCTGCCATCTCACTTAAGCCTCATGACCCCCAGAGATGCCATATTTTAAGGAAGAGGCACCACTGTATAGAATTGATCTTCGGTAAAGAGCTGGAAACCAGTTTTGCTCAAAGGAGATCCTGTTCTCTATTTAGCAGGCTCTTCAGCTGTGCATCCCGGCAGATTCCAACAACCTTAGCTAACAGTATAGCCTTAGTGCTCTAAGAATGGGAGGGTCATTCATTAACATCTCTTTCCTGATATTGGGCATGTTGAAAATAGGTACATAGCTAATACCTATTATTCTGGGGCATTTCAGTAAAGACTTTAAAAAAGCTATTCCAAGGAATTTACAGTTTTGCAGTCAGTTTTCATAGTTTCGTAAGAATAATAAATATAGTTGGTGTGTATTTAGGTGTGTGCACATGGAAATTAAAATGATGGTTCTTATCATTTGGTTTGGAATGTCAAATTCTTCACTGTCTCTTTAACATGTGGGTTACTGCAGGGCAGATCAGTGGCTACCGGTGCTTATATTAGGACCTACAACATACATTGGTGGTTGCCTACCCAAGAGCCCTCTCTTTCCTTCTTCCTTGAAAGTAGAACCTCTATATTGATCAGGTGTCTTGCCGAAATGTGCTCAAGGAAGATCGGCTCCTCCAGCTCAAGACTGGCCTTCAACATCATCATAATTTTATTCTCCTTTGCCAGAGAGGGATGGAGGCAGCAAGGAAGTGTGAAATCCAGTTCTGGCCAGTGAGACCAAGGGGAAGGGTGCTCACTGGTGGGTCTGGGAAAAATCTTTTCCTCTCTGATAAAAAGAGTAATCTTCCCTTTCTTTGAGCTATTATATGAGGATAGGCTGCCTGGAGTACTGGTAGCCATCTTGCTGTCACTGTGGCTCAAAGACAAAAGCCAGAATGCTAAGGATTGCCAGGGGACAGATGAGAAGCCTAGTCTGGACTGCATTTTTGTTTTGTTGAATTGAAAGCTACCTATCTCTGAGCTGCCTATTATATGAGATGATAAACATCTATTGTTTAAACCATTTTTTAGTCAGGTATTCTTTTACTTGCAGCCAAAAACATCTTAACTGATACGGGATAGAACTCTTTCCATTCAAAGGACAAAATCAATTCAAATGGACTCAAAGGAAATAAATTGGTGGGGATGAAGTTACACATCTATTGGCTCATAGAACCCAAAAAACCACAGGTGGTGCTAGCTTCAGACTTAACTGGGTCAAGTCTCCTGCACTGAGTTTTTCTCCATTTTTCCACAGTGCTTCCCTTTGTTTTGGCTTCACTTTTGGGCAGGCTCTGTCCATGTGGTGAGCCCTCATAGCTTCAGGCTTACTGTCTTCACAGTGGCAAGCACAGTGGGAAAGGTGGCTTCCTCTTCTCTCTGGTTCCACCAGAAACTGTAGATGAACTTTGACCCCTTGGCTACCCCAGAACTGGGCATGGGGGTGAATGGTGTTGGGGGTCAGCCAAGGCTCTCTATCCACAGGATTCATTTCTTCACTGATAAATGCAGAAATTACTATAATCTGTACAGCCAGGTCTTGGGAGGGGTGATGGAGAGTAAGTCATGCTTTCAATAATTACTTGCTGACTAGGGTGCTTGGAACACTAAGAGCACTTCCAGGAAGAGCGCTGGGGTCAGAAAGTAGTTTTTATTATATTAGAGGACATTTGGTTAAAAGTTAGAAAAGCTGACAAAGCTATCAAAATAGTTCTGCATTTCATAAAGTTATGTAAATTGAAGGAGAACTTTTGTACTACTGGAGCAAAGTGTAACAAAATACTGAGATATTCACCATTTCAAGAATTTCCAACTTTTGTTCCAAAAAATAATCTAGATGAAGCTGCCAGAGAGAATGGGGTTTTCATTCTTTCAGGGATAAATTTCCTAGCCTACCTCTTCTAGCCAGAAGTTACAGAAGTCCACAGTCATTCAGAGACGTTCTTGGCCTTTTGAGCGATAGGTAAGAAATTTCTTCAGAATTCCTAAGAAATTGTTGGTATAGGAAAGGACTTATCTGCACTGTAAAAGCACATTTTCTCCCTTATATTTTATTGTATTTTAAAATGAATCTTGAGACTTTTTTCTTTCTTTATAAAAATTAGTATCAACATGAAGTTCTAAAGATAGTTCCTTGGCCTGTATTCAGGGCTTTCATATACTTTCTATACTATATGAAATGATGTAGTTTGGACCTCTTTTTTAAAATAAAATTTTTGCACAGTTAAACAGCTATACAGAAAAAGGGAAATCCTATATGCGTAACCAATGGACACAGACAGTAGTTTGGGGAAAGCAGGAGGGGGGTGGGGGCAGGGAGGAGGGGGTCAATGGGGAAAAAGGGGAAGAACACCTGTAATACTTTCAGCAATAAAGATAAAAATAAAATAAAGAAAAAGGGAAATCCTTTTCATTGACAAATTTAACTATATCATGCTTCATTCTCTTCCACAGCATTTGTAGGCATATATATCGATTAGATTACTTTATTTGGTTTGAGTTAAATAATTTCTTTGTGTTTGTTTCTTTTTACTTTTCTTTCCATGTATTATTTAAGTTCACATATTTATTTTCATTGGCCATTTAGTGCTGATTTAGTGTTCACAGATTTGAGGCTGAAATTTATAAAGAAAAAAAGTGAAATTCTTATATTGTCCACTATCCTCTGTTGTGTATAGCAAAAACAGTAGTAGATTTTCCCCCCCACCCTTTATTTTAGAGCATAGAAAGGCCAGAATGGGAGTAAGCAAAGGCTGGAAATGTGACTTTCCAATGCCACGGTTTAGCCTGAACACCGCTGTTAGAAAACCTGGTTTTAACTTATATTGAGTGAATAGGATACACAAAAATACCCCCTGTCATAACCTTAACTATATCTGTGTTCTTACTTATAGCAATGCCTTGTTTTGACTAAAGGATTTTAATTTTTTTTTTAAGTGTAGTGCTCTTTTTTGTTGATGGGAATTTTGAGTGGAAGATGATGAGAGATCACTCAGTTCCTGAGTTATTGACTAACGGTAATTCTGGAAAAAAGCAAATAGAGTAATTATATTCTAATTGTACTTAAGTTATAAAAAATGGTTTTAAAGGAAACTTAAAGGGAGGCTCCTAACTGTAACAGCTTTCATTGCTTTATTTACTTATTTATTTATTTATTTATTTATTTATTTATCCTCACCCGAGGACACTTTTCACATTTATGTTCAGATAGAGCTAGAGGGAGAGAGGGAGGAAGAGAGAGAGAGAAACATCAATGTGAGAGAGACACATCGACTGGCCACCACCCACACGACCCCAACTGGGGCCAGGGACAAACTGCAACCGAGGTACGTGCCCTTAGTGGGAACCGAACCCGGGTCTCTCTGGACCGCGGGCCGACACTCTTACCGCTGAGCCTAACTGGCTAGGGCCATTACTTAATTTTTTTAAACACTTTTTTAAAGTGTTTTTTTATTTTTTATTTTTGAGAGAGAGAGAGAGAGAGATTAACATCAATCTGCTGCCTCTTACATACCCCTCACTGAGGTTTGAGCCCATGACCCAGGCATGTATCTTGTCCTGGAATCGAACCTGGACCTCTCAGTCCATGGGAAGATACTCAATCCACTGAGCCACACTGGCCAGGAACTTTTATTATTTTTAGACTCTTAGAGTCTAACACTGATACAGCTTAAGCTGTCTCACAGGTAACTCCCCGAATCTGAGGTGCTTTGATTTATTAGAGAAGAAACAGGCATTTGTGTGTTGGTATTAGAGTAGCTGTCTTAGAGGCCCAAACTCGTTGTCAGACCGACAAAATGATTACATTAGACTGAGGATTTTCCAGGCTGTCACAGTCTAAGGAAGTGTTAACACAGATTTTCAGCCTCCTTATTTCTAGAAGCATGGATTAGAAGTGCTAATTTATCCTTGGAACGTCATGTTGCTGTTTTGCTGCCATTAGCTAACTGTGTGCTCCATGTGTAATAACTACCTACTTTTGCCTGGAGTCTTGCTTTGCCTTTTCTAGTTTTATGATCATT